AAAAAGCATGCTTTGATTTAGTTGGGCCAAAAATCATCTAAGTAAAGCACAAGATGGGCCTAAGGGCAAAAAGCCCAATTTTCTTCCTTTTCCCCTCTCCTTTCTCGGCCCAGCAACCCAAGAGAGAAAGGGTTGACTTTAGCATTGCCACCTCACATTTACCCCTTAGATCTCTATGCATTCATCTCATATCTCCATGCAAACATCCCATCAAGATCTCTCTCTTCCTCTCTCTTTTTCTCTCGATCGAAACAACACACACACACATTTCACTCAACCTCTCTTAAAGAAACTCCCTTCATCCTTCATCAAATTCTCGAAATTAAGGAGGCTTTTCAAGGAAATCACACCACAAAACTCATCATCTAAGTTAAGTTGATGTTTAATCCATGATATTTTGATAACTTGGAAGAGAGATGTCGTAATCCAAGGTATAAAATATTTGAAGGTAGGTGAATGACGATTCACCAATTTCCACCAAGATAAACGAAATTTATTATTAGGTTTTAATTGGTTTTGAAACTCCCAGATCTTTGAGATTAATTGAACTTTTCAATGGCATGTTTCAATCTCGAGTGTGCCCTTCAGGTTTTGTGATTGGGATGCCGAGAATCACAAAACAAGGTGTGAATAACCATGTAAATATATTTGGTACCCTTAATTGTTTACCCCTTAATCAATGTGACGGTTAACCATACACGCTCCACCGATACTATGATAAACATTAAGTTACCCTTTGCCTACCTTGTTAAATCCAGGTTAGTGTGTCGGTTAACCACACATACTCCACTAACCGACTTAAACAAAGTGCAAAGTGTAATTTCATGGATTAACACCTTATTCACTTTTTCCTAAGTAACTAAGATTGGGTATTTATAAAAGGTTTGGTTACTTAGTATTTATCATTACTACTTTTAATGAAGGGAGAATTATAGTCCTTGTCCTACCCATTCGGCTAACGACCCTCCACCAGTCAAGGAAGCGGTGGGTGAGAGTGGACACCCATTAAACTGCCATTTTATACTCAATAACCTTATAACCCCCCTTATAGACCGAATTCGTGAATGAGGCCTAGTAACGGTAAGACTGACTTTACTCTTATATATATATATATATATATATATATATATATATATATATATATATATATATATAAACTTATAGTATTATAAAGTATAAGGGTTGAATTTTAATTTTTAAAATTCTAAGGGCTAACTTGGAATTAAAGTATTCATAAGTGAACACTTTTCAAATTACAAAACTTGAGGGAAAGTTTTGAAAATATTCAAAACTAATTAATTCCATAACTTATGTGTTTAAAGTAGTTTTAATCCAAAAACTCTTCAAGTTTCATAACTTGAGAACAAATTATGGAAGACTTTAAACTAATAAAAGAATGTAACTTTTTTTTATTTGTAACATATGAAATTAATTAAGGTTACACATTTTATTACTTAATGAAGTGACTCTTGAACCTCCATAACTTGAGGACAAGACTCTTCATTTTTGTAACCATTGCCAACTTTTATGAGTTTTATGAAACTTAAATGTGACTTTTCATATAACTTGAGGACAAGTTACAAAAACACATTTTATAATCAACTCTTAGATTAAAATGGATTGAAAACACATAATCGATTAACTTATTTATTAATCTAAGCAACTCATAAGAACAAGATAGTTCAAATCAAACCTTTTCATGTAATTAGTCTAAACCTTAAACTAATACAAAACATGAATCTATTGACAATTATCTTTGAAATTGGATTAGCATGAACATTACCACATCAAAAACAAATTTATAAGTTCAAAAACAACTTAGGGTAATGTTCTTAGTCCAATTCCAGCCAAAACAGCAAACAGCAAGCTATCAGCACCCAAAACTCGTCGAGTTCCTTGAGAAACTCGTTGAGTTCATGCCCAACATGAAGAACTCGTCGAGTTTTTGGCATAAACTCATCGAGTTTTATGTTCTGGATAGATTCAACTTTGAAAAAACACATTTCCATCAAGTATAAAAGAAAGCAAGCCTAGGCTTTGATACCACTGTTGGGTTTTGAGCATTCTAACACTTCTAAGTGTACATGCAACCCTAAATACCTTGGATCTATGTTTTCTCTATTATACATGCAAATATGAACTTTCCAACGTATTCATCCTAACTAGCAGAAGAACGTTGATTCAAATGAACATATCAAGTTAGAATTACATACCTCTTTGATGTAGATTGTCTTCATGAAGCTTGAGTGCCTAGTGCCCCAAGTGTGACACCTCAAATGGTTCACACAACACCAAATACACTTGGAATAGATTAGAGAGAACATCCACACTTCATGAAATCGTCTAGCCCTTTCTATTACCCATAGTGGCCGATTTTCTCCAAGAATAAGATCATTATATAGTTAGGGTTACACCATGTAAACCCTAATTGTCATGGCCTTTCATTTCCATAATCCATGGGTACAAATACACCATGGAGCATCTTATGGGTTTTAGCCCAACTTGACCATCCATGGAGCATTAGCCCACTATATAGGTATGAATGATTTACACAATCAACCCATATATTTAATTAGTCTTCTTTTGATCACTTAATTAATCCTAGATTAATTCTTGATCAATACTAATTAAATAATCTTAGTAATATATTAGAACTTATAATATATTAACCAACCTTAAGTGTTATTTCTCTCATTATAGTCTATCTAAATGCATGATGCCATGCAACCCAAATGGACCATGTCGGGTCGGGTCAAATCTCACCAATTATAGTTATGGACTTAGACATTAATCCAACATTACAAAGAATCAAAGAAAAATGTTTAGTTTTATCAAAAAAGAAATAAAAACTTTTTCAAACTACAGTTGAATATCTTGGTCTAAAAATTGGAGAAAATGGTCAACTATCTTTAACAGACAATATACGAGAAAAATTAAATATGTTTCCTGATAAACTTGAAAATAGAAAACAAATACAACGATTTCTTGATTGTTTAAATTATATTGTAGAACAAGGATTTTTGAAAAACTTAGCAAAAGAAAGAAAAGTTTTACAAAAGAAAATATCAGAAAAAATACCTTGGTCTTGGACCAATACAGATACTATTTTGGTACAAAGTATAAAACAAAAAATTCAAGTTCTCCCCACGTTATATAATGCAAAAATCAACGATTTTCTAATTATGGAGACAAATGCATCACAAGACACTTGGTCAGGATGCCTAAAATCAATTATACGTGGAAAAGTATTATTGGGATTAGATAGTGAGGGAAACCTCATATTTAACTCATCAAAAGTATACAATGATAAAGCATACATTGGTATGAAAATACCATCCGAAGTAAACAATAATAAAGTATACAGTGATATGAAAATATCACCAAAAGCATACACTGATACGGATGTATCATCTGAAGTATTAAAAATAGATAAATATGAGAAAAAACTATGCAAGTATATATCGGGAACATTTTCCAAAACGGAGCAAAATTATTGCACACATGAACGAGAAACACTAGCATGTCTCAGAACATTGAAAAAATGGAAGGTCAAACTACTTCAAACTAGATTCGAATTACACATATAATAGATTCTAAGTATCTACTTGGCTTTTGGCGATATAAATTACAAGAAGATTATTGTCGAGGACGATTGATTCGTTGGTAATTACAATTACATCAATTTCATCCATATCTCAAGTATATTAAAAGCGCCAACAATCATATAGGAGACACATTAACAAGAGAATGGAAGTCATCATAACGCAACAACTAAAAATATCCTTACTCAAAAATGGAAGAAACACCGTTCATGGAAGACTAACGTCAACAATGACTAAAGCACACATCATTCAGAAATATCTATCCTTTCGGTGGCGGGAGGAATAACCTAAGCAATGATGTATAAAGCATTATTATTGAAGACACTTGTCCTTTCGTTGTGAAAGGAATTATTATTTATTTGTCATTGTATAATTATTGTTTGTATTTGTTGGTAGAATATGACATAAAGTAGTGTCAGTAGGATGTAACATAAAGTGTAAGACCTTCCATAGTCTAGGGGTCTAAATGTAAATATATGTTTGTGTATTGCAATCATACGATTGCAACAATAATTGTAACAGACTCTTTCGAGCCTATAAATAGGGCCTTTACCCATAAGAAATATACAAGAGATATTTGAGTGTTTAAGACTTGAGTTGAATCTCAAAGTTTTTCCTCTGTTGAAATAGTTTGTCTATTTCTGAATAGTAGAGTTCTATCCAAAGTATCCAAAATCATTCACAAAATCATCCAATTATTCAACATAATCCATCATCAATATAATCCAATGTATCATTCAGGTATAATCTTCTCAAGGTCGTCGGTGCTAAAGGGTTGCTCTGGTCGGAGATGACAAAATGAAGGGAAGAAGAGTCATGTGTGGTGTTACTAGAAGTGAAGATGGAGAAATGTGTGACGTAGAGGCCATCATTGGAGGTGAAACATTGTGTTCACCTGAATCTGGAATGGAAAGGGCAAAAAGATCGTGAGAGGAGATGGTGGAATCAAGGAGATTAGATTCATGGACAAAAATCTAGTGTGAGTCTGTGCTTGTTTTTAATTAAGTTTCAAAAATTTGGTTTGTAAAATCATTTTTTTAAGGATTTCTAGGAACTTTTTTACAAACATGGATATGGAGTCTTGGTTATATATATATATAGAGAGAGGCCTAATTTTATATTTAATAATAAGAATAATTTTAAAAAGTGAAAGAAAAATGGTAATTAAATTCATTAAGGATATAATCATTCTTAGTATGAACAAGAACCAAAAGTACAAGGAAACTAACTCGAACCACCATCCAAAAAATTTATAATTTGGTCTAAAACCAGAAAAAAAAAAAAATGCATATGACAAACCATTTTTGCAATTTAGTCTAAAAGAAAATAGTGAATCGATTAATAAAGTAAAATATTGGAGGTTTGGCAAACCCGAGTTACCGAAAGGATTGGACAAAACAAAGCGTTTGTGAGAGCCAGCGACCCTTTAGCTAGAGAAGCTTAACGACAATGGCGACCATGAAGATAACGATGAATGTTCCTCAAACATTTTTTCAATTCAAAGACTGCAAAGTAACTTTCTCCAAACCCTACCTGTATTCCGATTCCATTTCTCGTAGATTTCTTATACTATGACTGCAATGCAGTAAATAAATCCATATCCTGTTTGATTATATAGAAAAACATGTTAGCTTATGCAGTTCGAACTCAAAATTAATCGGAAAGGAGTATATAACCTACGATTATACCTACTGAATGATTAGTTCAAATATGTCAAACTGCGCAACTGAAACTTCTTACTGATTTTCCCCGCATTTCGATTTGAGATGGAAATTGCTTACGCTGCCACTGCTAAAGTTTTCAGGTCTTAATGTCATGTTAGAATTAGGGTTCCAAAAGGCAGTGAGCCTGAGAATCTTTATAAAAGGATGAAAATTAGTTTGTTTATGGTGGAATGAATGAGAAAAAGTCAGTCTCAATACTTCCTCATTTGTCAAATTGATCATGCTGTGTGAAAATAACTTTATACGTATGAGTTGATGCTGCCATTGTGAGTAGTTATAGCTATGAGTGAAGCAGAATGCATTCAGACATTATGTAACGCTTATTATTCTCTCCAAAACTCCCTCTATTACATGTAGGAAAAAGAGAGGCATAGGTTGATTGTTAAGGTCAATGCAAACGCAAAATACCTTTAAGTCCATTAAGTCAAAAGAAACAACACCTTAGTCTGGTAATAATGTGAAAAAGTTTTCATCAATTCACTGGATTTTATATCAAGTTCCAAAAATTGAAAAGTCATTAAATTTTGAGGTAAATTGCATATCGGTATCCTAATATTCTAATGTATATCAACTGTTACTTTGCTTCCTGTCTACAGCATCCTACTATTAAGAGCAATCACATACATGTTCCAAGTTGGCATACATTATCAACTATCAATCTTTTCTCTACAATCCAAAGTCGAGATGCAAGGTAACTTACTATTTTCTTGTGTAAAAATAATAATTGTTTTTACAAATAACCAAGTTATTTAAGTAGTTAAAGTGTTAAACCATAGGTTATAACCTTTTGCTTGTAACTCCCATAGGATTCTTGGCTCCTATGTTAGACCACTACTTGCTGTTGAACCAGGTGATCTTCAACTTTTCAAAACCCCTACAATACTTCTCTTTCCATTTAATTACTAAATCAATAAATAGCAACATACTTTCATATGCTATGTATTATAATTTATATCATCATACTTTTATCTCTCTTTTACAACATTTTACTTCCATTTTTTTTTCTTATTAAGTCATTGTAGTTTCAACAATCTTGAATCTTCCTAATTACAACAATGCACTTTCGTTTGATTGGATAGATTTTCAGATTACAATGCTATAATTGGAATAAATCCATGAAAGTATGTTGCTATTTCTTGCATTGACTTTTAACTGAAATCAGATTTCAGAAGTTATTTATATAATACATAACAGGTGTTGAAGCTTCAATATCAGATGAGAATGTGGTAACTATAAAAAATGCCAATATAGTTGTGGAGTCCCAAGATGATGATAAGATGCAAGTGAGCTCAATGTCTTATACTACTAATTTCTTATGCCATTTTCATGGATTATATATACGCTGTGCCACGTCACTGATACAAAAAGATAAAGTTTTTTTTTTTTTTTTTTTTGAATTTGGATTATGTCTTAATTTATTATTCAGACATTTAGTGAGGATATTTGGTGGCAGGTAAAAGTGGAATTATCAGGGAAGGAGACACAAATTGTATTTGATAAGGTTCTCACAAATTTGGCTCGTACAGCACCACCAGTTCCAGGCTTCCGCAGACAAAAAGGAGGTAATGTCTTAATTTACAGAAAAAAAATGACTAAATTGCCCTTGTCTTTAAAGTTTTTTAAATTTCCCTTGTCATATTACAAGTCCTTCAAATTCCAATTCCTTTGACATATTCCAATTTCTTCCAGAAAATTTTGCTGAGCTAAAATCTCTTTTTGTTTAATTTGAATTATCCTCAAGTTATTTTGTGATGTAAAAGTGAAAGCACTGAAATTATTTGGTGAGAATTGAGATTTTAGAGTATTTGGTGTCTAGGGTTATACAAACCAATTTTCATTGCTATGATTGTTTATATTTTTCAAAGTATAATAAAGTCCTGATAAGAAGAAAATTGAAATTACAATGTTATGTCAACATTGTACTTCCGATTGTTTTCTTATTAAGACATTGTACACCTAAAAATCCATCCAATCATAGCTTTATACTTTTACTTTTCTTTTTTTTTTTTCTTTTTTTTCTGATATCATACTTTGAGTAACTAATGAAAATCCTTTGTATGTGGATGACATATTGACATTGCTATAATTAGGTAGGTTTTTTCAAATTACAATGTTGTAATAGGGAAAATGATTGTAGGGTGTTATAATAAATAAATTAACATAAGTATGTTGCTATTTCTTGCATTTGAACCTATTGATTATTGCTTACTTTTCCACTCCCTTCTTGTAATTTTTGTGCTTCTAACCTTGTTTCTCTTTTGCATGTGGATGGTGGCTTTCAGGGAAAACATCCAAGGTAGCATCACGTAATCTATTTATTTTATGCAACATTTTACCTTTTTCCCAAATTATGCACCAAAGTGTTTTTTTAGAAATATATGTTTTCCATAAATGCTAATTAATGCAACAATGTTTTACTGTTTTACCAAATTATGCAATAATGTTTCACTATTTTTTATCAATTTATGCAACAATGTTTCATTTTATAAACAGTTTACACAACAATGTTTCATTTTACCAATTTATGCAACTCACACAAGTTATTCTACCATGTTTTACCAATTAAATATTGCATGTGTTGGTCGTAAAATGAAACGTCATTGTATATTTTATATAAAAAAACCACTTTGTTGCATAAATTTAGGAAAAAAGTGAAATGTTGTTGCTTAAATACGCATTTAACCATTTTATTACATTCAAATTTAGAAAAAAAAAAGACGAAACATTGCTGAGAAAAATTAGATGCGTAATCTGATTGTATTATTCACTTTCTAGAATCATAATATTTATAGACAATTGCTTGTTTCCATGTTTGCCATGAATATGATGCAACCATTGGAATTTTAATGCTTTTGTCATTTTGCTTGAGATGATGAAAGTAAAAGGCTAAAAGCAAGAAATAGCAATTTACTTTTAATTACATGTGTATTATAGCACCCTATAGTTAATTTCTATTAATTACAACATCCTACTTTTAATTTTTTTTTTATTAGGACATTATAGTTTGATCAATCTACCCCAATTATAGTAATGGAAATTTCTTATTTGGATGTTATTGCTATTATTGGTAGATTTTTCAAAGTACATTGTTGTAATTGAAAGAAATGAAAATACGATGATATAATAAACTAATCAATGAAGTATGTTTCTGTTTCTTGCATTTAAACCTTTATTCTATATGTAACTTTGGTTGTCCCTTTGTGAAATGCCTCAAATACCCTCTAATTACAATAAAATAAGGAAAACCTTTTGGACTAGAATCAGTAGCATCATCAAGTAGTATGACGATGGGCAGTTCGGTAATTCTAACTTTGAAATTTACCAAAAAAAAAAAAAAATCTTCCGGTTTATATAATAATTCGAAATCTTTTTTCAGGTCCCGAAAAGCTTTCTATTGTCAATTATTGGTGAAGATCGTGTTACAAAATTTGTTATTCAAGAAATAGTTACTTCCACTGTGGCTGATTACGTGAAAAAGGCAAGTTATTATTTCTGTTTTATTTCGTCATTTCTTAGTATTTGGCATGATGGAATTGGTGAAGGAATGGAATGATTCATTCCGTTGGAATTAAAAGAAAAAGTTTGTTGTTATGTCTGATGGAATGGAATGGACCATCTTTAAAGGAATGTGATTTCACAGTTTTAGTCAACTTAAAGTTCTATTTTGTAAAAATAACTATAAAATTGCATTGTTTTTATTGTAATTGTATTGGGGTTTGAAAAATCTACCCAATTACAAAGTGTTACTTTTTTTCTCATTAGGACATTATACTTTGAAAAATCAACTCAATTATACAGATGATATTGCTATAACTTGTAGATTATTTCAAAGTAGAATCCTGTAATAGGAAGGAATAAAAGTCTAATGTTAATATCTTACAACATACAAATCAATGAAACTACATTGATATTTCTTGCAGAACAATATTTTGGTAAAGGAAAACAAGATCAACACAATTCAAAGTGCAGAAGAGCTAAAATCATCATTTAACCCCGGGAGTGATTTTGGATTCAGTGCAACATTAGAACTCGAAAAACTAGATACTGAAACAAGTAGTTCAGACACGACTGAAGCATGAAAAGCTCTTAATTCTCATATGAACCACATACTATTTATCCTAAGGAATGTTTTTTATTTTCATTTTGAGATACAACTATGTAAATGAGATGTGAAATGCAATCTTCTTGTTGTGTGGAAATTAAGATGGTTTTCATTTTTAGACTTCCCATTAAGTCGTGGTTGATAGACTTTAAAATGTATTATAATTTTTTTGCAAAAGGGGTATTCTTGTTGGGCTTGGCCCATGAGCATCTATCTATGATATGTAAATAAGGTACACAACATACTAGACCATAAGAGCTTATTGTCCTAATGAAGTCCAATCCTTATTGGAATTGAAACTGTAGTTGAGATTCAAACTTTTGACCATTTTTGCAAATATATCATCCCACAACTACTGTGTTATATGATGGGGCATGTTCAACCTTAGTCAAGGGATATTATGATGTTAGCTGTGGGGCGGGTTGATGGATTGTTTTCACCAAAAAAGACATGTAATGTAATATGAATGTTGTTTCATGTTTACCTCTTGAAAAAGAAAGAAATGATTAGTTTAAATGGAACATTGATTCATATCAAAATCGATCTAAAGAGTGGGTTACTAACCACAATGAAAAGGGTCAAGATCAAAAACATATATAAACATACACATTTCATCATTCGTTAGACCTTCTCTATGTGATGAGATTCTAATTGTTGAGGTTTAAAATTTCATAAAAAAAAGCTTCTGCTTTCGAAATTCGCATATGACCAAAAGTCCAAAACATAGCTACAACTTCCCAGTTTAATAATAGGTGTTATATGAATAAAATATTGTTTGGATTAAATAATGTAAAAAACATATTTGAAAAAAAAAACACCGAAAAGGAAAAGGAGAGAAAAATAAACAAGCGTAACTTTCTAAAACGTTAATTTCTTAATAACCTTTGTTAAGTCGTTATTTCATTATCAAATAAAAAACCACTTCACATTATCACTTAAAACCTATCAAGTAAAAAAAAGAAACAAATTTCATCATAAATATATAAAATAAAAAAAAATTAAAAGCTGAAACAAAACTGTATGCTTGTTCCCATCTCTCTACAATTTTAAACAGATAGCTCTATAAACATATTGAGACTCCGAGATGCATAACACAAACGAACAAACATAAACAAACATAAACAGTCAATAAGTTTCATGTAATATAATCTACTATGTTGTGTAGGTGTATATTTAGATAGATAATAACTATCACCACCACCACCACCACCACCATCAATGCATGGCAGGGCGAGGTGCACGTGGGCGCACCGGGGTCTTCGAAGGACTTACCCTGCAAGCAAACAATCACACAGATAGATGTCAAAACATGAATTTTAGAGTAAATTACTGAAATCGTCCCTATGGTTTAGTCAAAATTGCACGTTTGGTCCCTAATTTTTTTTTTTGCACTCGGATCGTCCCTGTGGTTTGATTTTGTTGCGTTTTTCGTCTCTGTGGTTTGATTTTGTTGCATTTGTCGTCCCTTACATACATAAAGTTAGGGACCAAACATGCATTTTTTACCAAACCATAGGGACGATCCGAGTGCAAAAAAAAAAGTTAGGGACCAAACGTGCAATTTTGATCAAACCACAGGGACGATTTCAGTAATTTACTCTTAATTTTATGACACTTAACTACTATTATTCTTCTAACAGTAACAACCCCTGAGCTGGACCACACTGTCTGTCTGGCTAGCCCAAAAGCATCATATGAGATGTAAATCAGGTACTGAGACCGAGACTGGAGCCCTTTGGAAAAATCTATCCGATTATAGCATTCGACTTTTAATGTTTATTTATTTATTTATTTATTTTATGAAAGGAAAGTATGTTACCTTATCGGCAATGATCCCAATACCGCACCACTACAGTTCAGGGCAGCAATTGCACTCTCGGCCTGTAAATGCAAGAAATAACAACATACTTTCATTTATTTGTTTATTAGTGTTGAATACAAGAAACATCAAAATATTTTTCTTCATTTGTTTATTATTATTAGAGTTGAATGCAAGAAACTTTTGTTTGATTTGTTTATTATAACATCCTACTTTCAGTTCTTGCTATTAAAAACATTGTAATTGGAAAATCTATCGAATTATATTCATGTCATCGAAACACAAAGTAATTTTCACTGAATAACTGGATAAAATTTTCATAGTATAATATCTTTATAGAAATAAATATGAAAGGAGATTCTTCAAAGTACAATTTGTTAATGAATTCAAAAGATGTGAAGTTTAAAATATATAGGCCAATCAAGTTTGACAAACATATTGCATATTAAAGCAAAAAAAAAAGAAAAACAAGATAAAAATACTTAAAAAAAAAAAAACTCACCATCACAAACTCCACAAATGCAATACGAGAGGAATGATGATAGTCTCCAAGCAACCTCAAGCGATAAACCTATCAAAAGCAAAGTTAATAACAACATTTTATTAACAATTCATATCACAACAAACTACTCAAAATGTTTTAAATGTAAAAAAAAAAAAAAAAAAAACTATAAAAGTATAAACCTCTCCACAAAGTGATTCAAAAAAGAGTTTGACATCTGCCTGAGTAACCTGCTTAAAACAAAACACAGATCACACAAAAACATTCATCAAATACAAACACACACACAAAAAAAAAAAAAAAGATAAAACTTTAACTACCTTCTTATCAATGTTAGTACAATAAATAGTCCTTGCACACATTTCCCTTTCATCTTCAGACTAAAACAACATCAAAATTAATAGAGTTAGCACAACTGTGTACAATTGTACATAAATCATTTATTCAAGCTTCACAAGTCAAAAGTCAAAAGTCAAAAGTCAAAAGAATCTCACTCGAGGCAGAAAAGTGGGATTCACTGGTGCAATTGCAGTCTTTGAAGGCAAAACCCTAACTGGATAGAAACCAAGCATTGTTCCAGCAAGAGTCAATGCATTCTTTGCACCTTCTGCAAAAACATCAGAGAAACTCAATGTAAATTATGTAATACAAAACATATATATAAGATATTACTTATTAAAGGTGTATAAAAAGGTTATATTTGCATACCCTCATCAGTAAACTCAACAAAAGCAAAACGAAGAACAGAATTAGGGTCACCACATACACGGCAATCAACAACCTTTAGTGGAATGAAAATAACCGAATAAGAGGAATAAAAGTTAGACAACTTTGATATATATGAGCAAAATCAAAAGGCTTTAATGGTGGGAGTAACATGTTTAAAACTTACCTGTCCACAATGAATAAAAAGTGCTGCAAGTTGTTCTTCAGTTACCTGTAGTAATACATTAATAGATTATTAGAAATTGTTAGCTTGTAAACTTCATTAAAGTTGATATTATTACATTATGTGATGATATAAATCTTTTTACCTGTTGATCAATGTCGGACACATGAACTGTTCTCTTAATGGCATCTTCTTGTTGTGCCAAGTTAGTTCGGCTATTCATCCTCCTCTTTCCATTGCTAAAATGACCCTTCTTCTAAACATAAAACGATAAAAACCTAGATCAATCAGCAACAGAAATATAGGAAACTGCAAGTGTTGATTGATATCAATCATGAAATGAGTTAAGACAAGCAAGAAGAAATGGAAATGAGGATATGGATAAGAGTATATACCCTTCCAGTGTTAATGCCGTCGACATTGGCAAAAGCTGTGTGGTTATTTTGGAGTAGGAATTCATTAACAGCAGCATAACCAAAGTGAGTTGCAGGAGATGGTGGTTGTAGTAAAGCCCTATTATAAACGTTCTTGGAGAGTGAAGGGGGAACAAATTCTTCAGCCATAGGATTTAATTTCGACAGGATTTCCTCCAAATCTCTTATATCTTTCTTAAAACCCTCTTCGTGGCCATCACGATCAGCCCCATTCACTACCAGATGATGCTGATGATGATTCGAGACACCATTTCCATTTATTAAAGTGCCGTTTGTGTTATTAGATGTTATCTTCTTCTCCTGATTTGACCTCGAAATCAAAATCGAAGACTCTGTCTGATCAGCATCCTTTGATTCCACCTGGTTATTCGACACACCGTTCTCAACAATAGCCATGGTATCGATGAACCACCGACTGACACTCGTCTCAAGGAGCTTTTCCCTGCTTATTAATTTTTTTTCCTTCTATAGATTTTAGTCCGATCAATATTCGATGATAAACGACACGATCAAAAATCGTAAATTGAAATTGAAGAAGGAAGCTGTAAACATTTATTAAAATTACCTGTTTGGAGAATCTAAAATGGAGTGCTCATCAATTGATCGAAGTGAGCTGAAAGATCGTCAATCGAGATTTTATATATTGCGTATGTAAATCAGATGAAACTAGAACAAAAGTCAGAGGGGAAAGAACCTTGTTCTTCAATAATGCATCACTGTTTCCTTGTTTGAGAAAGAGAGAGAGAGAGAGAGAGAGGGTGTTCCTACTTCCTAGTATGGTCCGTTTCGGCACTCTAAGGCTTTGATATGGCACAGGGTCCAAGAAGTGTATTTTTATTTTGATTAATGGCGATTAACACATTTTTAGCATTTTTACCAAATTGACAATAATAAATAGGGAAATTCATTAAACTAACTATTATAATATAATTTTTGCTTTTTAAAAAACAAATATTTATTCCGGAATATGGCATTTCATAATATTTTTGAGTTGGTGTTGGTTGGTATTAGACTTGTCCAAAATCTAAAACTCATACATTTTATATTAGAAAATATATTTTAGAGATTAGTTTGGATATACGGATGTTCCCAGACAATATTAGGGTATTTATATTGTCATTTTTGTTGTATAAACTCATAAATCTTTTGGATACTAAACAAAATGAATTCATATAAGGAATTTCTTAGAATATAAGTTTCTAGTTGTGGACAATGACAACGAGAAATCTATGCAATATATTGCTCCAGATTATTAAGGGTGACAATTTTGGACCCAACACGAACCTAACCAGAAAATAAACGATTTTGAGTTGAGATTTATAACCCGTTAACC